AGAACACTTTTATTTATTTTATAATTTTATCTATCGTTGAAAAATATTAAGAACACTTTTATTTATTTTATAATTTTATTATGTGAGAATTATATAAAAAGAGTGAATTTCGGACGCCAATGTATATTTATCTTATTTATTAAATTGGAAACGAGACAATCGTTGATGCATGATTTTTTGATTATGATACACCTATGACTTGAAATCGATTGAAATCGGTTTCACTCTGGCTGAATAAAGAAACGCGTATGTACAATGGGGCTCGAAAGATTTATGACTTGTCCATGAAAGATCGAGGGATTAAAAGAACGTCGAGGATCGAGGTTTCAATGGAAGGATGGCGGCAAGTTCACGAGTAGCCTCTTCAACAGATATGAGAAAAACTAGAAGATTGCTACTATCTTCCTTCTCCCTTCGTAATATTCGCGGCTCACCGAGTCTCGACGGAGAATTCGATATCGAAAATCTTTTATTGGCCAATAATTACATTTGCCTCAATTCATCTATCATTGGAAAATTAATAAATAATAAATATATATAATGATATATGACATGACTTGGGATAAATGTAATTATTGTCCCAATATTCATACACAAACTATACATATATACAATATATATGTATTTTGTAGATGTGACACAAAAGTTGTAAGTAAGGGAAAACACGGTGGAAGGTAATTGAGTTTCATACATGATATATATTCGTGATCAATCAGCGTGGTAAATAATTCATTATTGAATAAACTGACAGCCGCTTGCCTGCGATGATTGGCAAGCCGATATGAGTGCGATCGAATATGGGTTAATCCAATCGGAATATATTCGATTCAATCTTTTCATTGGAAAACGGTATACATTGTTTTTATTCTCCAAGCCCCTATTTAGACTTCGGCATTCGAAACAGATTTAAGGGAAAATAGCTGTCGTCAAAGGTAAAACAGAATATTCCGTGGTTAAGCCAATTTCCCACTTTCATCCGGTTTCCAACGAAGAAAAATATACAGCACATCCCAGGATCTCAATTTGCGATCAAAGGATAACCAATATCGTGATATCTTTCTATCCGCTCGAAGTTATATCCAATTGCGCGTTTCGCAAGCGAACAGAATGAACTACACGGTTCGCTTCCCGACTGCAAACAGGAATCGCACAACAAACTACATTGTTTAAAAAAAGGGACTCGCAATCAACATTTTTTCCTAAATAAAATTTCAGAAATAAATATAAAATTAATCATTTGTAAGGTTTTACACTATAGAGGATACGCGATTTCGGAGTTGTGTGGGCGCGTTAATTAACTCGAGGTTACAACGTATTAACGAACAATTGTATTAATCAGAATAATTCGAGCCCATTGATACGTGAACGTTCTCACGGCTCGTCATTACGCGTGTCGTTGTCTCAATTATTGGACTGTTCATTATCCAAGTATAGGATGCATCGCATGCCAGTCATTGATAGTCACTGTCAGTAATTGGCATAGCATAACGCTTCCATCAGAATTGTTAACGACAGTCGAGATTGATCGTCGAATCAATAAAAACTGTGTTCGTAATTGTTCACGTGTGATTAACAGCGCATGATAAATCTGTAGATAATGACAGATATTAAAACGTGGAGAAGGTCTCATTTAGAAATATTCATACGAACATCAGATTGCCTTTTAAAGAAGGACTCAACCTTTCTCATTGAAAGCTCTGATTGATTGCCGCTGCGTGGAATCGCTGGAGAAAGAAGGAAGAAGAGAGCTAAGCTGCTTTATAGCTGCACAGTTTCCGCCGTCGCGTCCAGCAACAGGCGCGTCGCCTTTGACGAGACAATCTCGTTAACGGCGGGACTTCGATTTCCAGTTCCTTAATACGATATCGACGTCGTGGACGACGGATGTTTTCTATCTCTCTGAACTGTGAATCTCGGTTTGCTCTATACCAGATATCAAAGAAAATCCCATATTTACATGTTATTATTAAATGTAGAAATGAGTTCAGTGCTTCTTTAATAGGATTTATTCGATGATTTATTGTAATTTGAATGAATTATTATTTTGGCAAATTAGCAGAAAATAATTTAATATTAAGGCAATAGTATTTCATATCTTTGCACTGTCAATCGTATTCGAGTTCTAATTCCTGTACATCAACAAACAATCGATACTGAGTTGAGATAATTCCTTGGTTCGAGGTTCCAGAGACCACCCTAGACCCTATTAATCGGTGGGACCAGATCCTGCAAGCGTTTCATTAGCCATAATCCGATTTATGCACGGTTTAATTAGTGTCGCATTCGAACGCTGTTTACTGGCAGCTTAATATCCCTAAGCGATAGGGAAGGCGGCCATGGTGCCTCGAGAAGCTAGCCGATTTATTCGAGTTAGCCTCGAGAAGCTACATTTTACGGGATCTACAAATAAATGATCACCTTCCAGAGATATCTCTCAGAAAGTCTGAAATACATATCTTCTTTTGCATTAATAATTCTTCACCGCGGACGTATCCCTTCCTCACCTCGCAAATCCGATCCTCTATCACGGCCCACGCGGCGGACTATCAATTTACCCGTCGAAAATCCACGCGGGAAAGATTTCAACCGAATGGAATACGGAAATCGGACGGATCGGGCGAAGTTAATTCCCGGCTATCAGCTAGCCGCGGACGATCTCTCGCGAGCATATTCCTGACTTTATCTTCCTACCTCGATAACACCCTCTTCTGCACGCAACATCCTCGTTACCGAGATTCCAGCGACCGATTAAAATCCGTTACGGTTACGAACGCGATTTAGAGCTACTGGTGTATGGATTTGTCTTCGTACAGCCCTCAATGCTCCGGATCGCGGTGAAGAAACTTTGTATAAGCTGTAAGATTTCTGTTAAAAGTGTGAGAATTGTGATAAAAAACTATGTGCAATATTTGAAATTTTAAGAAAATACGTCATTTAAATAAATGAGTACAAATAATATACGTGTGCTATATTTATTATATGTACGTAGGTGGGGATAATAGGTGTAGGTAGTTAGTATGTTAATAGGTATAAGTTTATCTTCATCATCAATTTCAAGACAAAAACAAGAAGTTATAAATTTAAATAAAAATTTTGCCATTCAGCATAAATATTCTTAATACCTTTGCAAAATTTTGCACGTGTTTTATTAATGTAATATCTGATAACTTAAAAAGCACTTTCTCATTGTTTTTATTTAAGGGCTAAACCCTAATACAAAATCAAACAAATGTGTGATTAATTAGATTCAGCGAGATATCATCATCTGGCGAAATCTAAGCCCCATGAATTGCGATTTCGGTTTCTACTTCTCACTTACTTATCTGTAGAACAATCGCTGTCGCTAATACTGAGAGATATTGCGAGCAGCATGATTTCCTAATTTTTATTCGTCTTGCTCTATCCTTTATAATAAATTCTATACTACGAAACCAATGTTCTTCTTGTATACATAGAAATTCTAATATCAAATGAATTCCCATCATCATTTCATAAGTAAAAAGTAAATACCTTTGGGTCAGGAGAGATAAGAAAGAAGGTAATTAAACTAAAAATTACAGTTAATTTTTATTTTTTGCTTGTCATCCAGGCCAGGCAATTTTAGATTAGGTAACGTTGATAACACGAACGTTTACCATATCAATGTTTCTACACTCTACATTCTACAATGTAGTGACTCGTGGAACGTTGATAACAATTCACGTAATACCATAAAAATTTCAATTTTGAAAAACGACTTTAGCTCTGTTTGAGGCAATAAACGAAAAAGTAATAAACTGGAAATCGGATAATATTGGATAAAAAGTGATACTTGTTCACTCTGATCTATCTCTCGTGCAATTTTACGGTATTAACTTTCCCAGAACTGTAATATGCAAGTAATTGCAAATAATTGCAAGTTCCGCCGCTGTTGTTTTCAACGAACGTCGATGCCCGTTATATAAAACGCTACGATATTTAATTACTTTCCTGGTAAGAAGGAACTCGGTCCGAATTTTAATTTCCATTCACGTGAATCATAAACGAAGCAGAGTAAATCTTACGAAGTTTCTCGTAACAGAAATCGCTAATGCAACGAAATCTTGGTAACGACAGGGAGAGAGGAGAGTAATATATTTTCACTTGTTTCACTGGGGATTAGGGAGACGTTTATCATAATTTATAACCGGGAAACGAGTCTGCTTGTAAAAACTAAATCCGATATTTACAAAATTACTTATTTCGTCGACTTGTAAATTTATTCTTTCGGTAAGCCCGAAGCTGTGAATTTTTTATTATGTCTGTTTATTTATGTTGACGTTTGAAATTTATTTATTGCAATTATGAAGAAACGTGACTGAGATATTTTTGTCTCGACAAAATAAAAATTATTGAGTCTGTCGGATGTTTGGTTGTTTTACGGGCAGATTACAAAGATTGTTATACTGTCGGCGTTTTATATTCGGTTCGGAATTGTTATTTATTAGAACTCATCGATGTTCGTGGTACGCTGTTGCAATAACGTCAAATATTTTTCTAGATAAGCAAGTAAAAGAAAAATGAGCGAGGGACAGCCGACTTACAAATTGATCTACTTTAACGTCCGCGGTCGTGCCGAGCATATTCGCTACATATTTGCATACGCCGGTGTCGACTATGTCGATGAGAGGATCCCTGTGGAACGGTGGCCGGAATTGAAGAAATGTAAGTCATACGAAACTTACCTCGATCCTTTTTTTACTCTGTGAAGCTTCAATTTTTAACTCAATTACCTTAGACTTATAGAAAACTGAACAGAAATTAGGACATTTTTGTTGAGTCTTGGAATCATGGATAAACAATGTTGAAAAATATGAAAAACACTTTGTTTTGTATTCAGTTTATATGTTTATTATATTAAAATTATAGAAAAATACGGTAGCATAAATTAGGACACTTACTTTACATCAGGATTGAACAACGAGGAATCTTTTAAGAAATGAACTTTCAAAAGAATATCGTTGAAAACCATGAATGAACGGAAGGATGGGAAGGGTTGAAAGCGCGTTCCATTACTAGGCCGCGTTGATTAAAAAACCCGAGCGATTTTCCCTCCGCTTTTCATCGGAACGCAACCGTTCCCATCGACCGTCCCCTAGATTTGAAACGCGATGGCATTCAACTCGAGGATCGTTCCGCTGTTTGTTCTTAGCGATGCCTTATGGTATGCTGCCGGTGCTGGAGATAGACGGGAAACCGATAGCGCAGAGCAACGCGGTCGCCAGATACTTGGCAAGAAAACACAATTTGGTTGGGAGAGACGAGTGGGAGGCGATGATGTGCGACGTGCTCGTTGACAGTCTCGGAGACCTCAAACAATGTGAGTAGGAAACGAGCGGTCCAATAGCCTTGACAGTGGGAATACAATTTTCTGAATATTAAATCTTGATCCGACCACTATTTACGATTCGATGCACACGAACGATTGGGACGTCGCAGATTTTCCTCCTCGGTAAACGTTTCGATATGTCTGCGTGTATGAAAAAACGAAAACGTGACAATTACCATAACATCGATAAACAACGTGACAGCACGCCCACACGATTCCTAGTTATTTTCCTTTCCGCGCGTTATCAAGTAATTATATGTTGATCAAAAGAATAACGTTGTAGGAGGCATAATTATCATTACTTACTGGACGTTTCAGTTATATCCCAGTATCGCGAACAGGAAGACCAGATAAAGAAGGAGGAAATGAAGGCTAAGCTTTTAAAGGAGACGATACCGTTTTACTTAAACAAATTCGAACAGATCGTCTCCGACAACGGTGGATACACCGTCGGATCCACCGTAATTATATCATAGCAATTTATTATTATTATTAGTGAATTATGCATTTTTATATAGTATGATTATGTTACAATTTTCCAGACGACGTGGGCGGACTTTGTGTTCGCTGCCGCTCTCGAAGACTTCGAAACCATTTTTGCAGCGACGGCTTTGGAGAATTATCCGGGACTACGAGCGCTGAAGAAAAGAGTTCATGAGATACCTGCGATCGCCGATTGGCTGGTCAGGCGGCCGCACACGGAGTTTTGAAAAATTCCAAAACGACGTTACATGTGAGAATGAAGGAAAGGTGGGAACGGATACATATCCACGTATCGTCTGTATGTTCTTATTCAAATATTATTTAATTGACTCATGCTGGTCGCTCGATGGTCGATGTGAAGAAAATAATGTATCGAGTTTGTATGTAAATTCGTTTTAATCATAATTTCTGTTAATTTGTTTCATTTCTTTTATACAACTGAATGTGCATTAACGAAACGTAGTGAATAGGTACTTACCTCGAGATTAAAACGCACCACCTTCTGTAACTATTCATTTCGAAGCTCAATAGGCAAGGAAAAAGATAAACTTTTGTCTCATTTATTTGTACATATGTTGTAAATAAAGTACACAATATATTCATGGTATACATATTTTTTTTTTCATTCAAGCAATTTGTCCTTTCGACGTATAGGAGTACATAATAAAAATTCTAAAATTTTAACTCGGTTCCGAACAGAAACGAGACTTGCGCTACATAAAACAGGAAAGCCACTTCTTTGAAATGTCTTGTGATTCATTCTGATACGATGTTTAGTTCCGGAGATATATAATTGTTAGGAGAAAAACCGAACTCCGCTGTGCGATAGTGCGTTTTCCTTATTCCATTCACGCGAATCCCAGTCGGAAACGTATGAAAATTTATACAAATTGTTCTGAACTCCGTAATAGATGACAATAATTGGACAAAACTCACGGTATCTTTAACATGATGCTTGCTCCATCTGTATCTGACTTTTAGTTTCCGAGATACCGTCGTGTGAAGTCAATCGTAATTATTCTGTTTCTTCCACTTACGTAAAACGCCTATACCGGACTTCAATTAAAACTCCGATAACTTTAATTACTTATAACTTTGCAACGAATAATAACAGCAAAACGAGAGTTGAACTGTTAGAAGCCGAGGTGTCTTCATTTTAAAATTTCGTTCTATGTACCAAGATTCAACTTCCGGTTCCTGAGATATCGTCGCTATCGCTGTCCTTGTCCCACGCGTCGGACTTCGCAGTCTGCCCCACTGCAGACAATGTTTACTACGCTTGACTTAACCCTTTTACTACTACTCCCACTCTAGGCGCGCGTAGTAGGCCGAAAGTGGGTCACTGAGTCACTGACACTGGGACTCCGGCCATTCATTAGCCTCCGCGGAAACTCGGAAACTTTAAACGGCTATATCTCCGAAACAAATTGAGATATCAAGACGATAAAAAAGTAAATTTAAAGAGCACGACATCCTCTATCATCTCATCGAATATTAATCTTCCACCCCTTAGAACTTCGCACAATAATGAATGTTTTCAAGGTCCAAATGCGTATTTTTTAATATGTACGTACAAATCATTTCCAAAAGACGTCTATATTTATTTTTTATTGTACTTCGTTAGAATTGGTGCGAAATAATGAAAAATTGGTATTATAATGAAGCCTGAGAATGAGTTGATTCAATTGATTTTACCGACTTCCTTGGCAGCCGGACGATGAGCTCGTTGCTCTCAAGCGTAGATGGCATATCAAAGCATTCGTGGTTTTTATAACGATCAATATATGTATACGTGGTTACATATG